GAACAGCTGTCATGGCTTACACCCTCAGGTAGAAGACAATTTCACTGGCTTCAACTTATATTCAAATGTATTCATTTCCAATATCCTTATTATTTATCCCAATATTTAGTGCCTTTTAGGTCACAGTATAGTCTTCGTCATAATGAACATCTCTTCTTCACTGTCCCAAGAATAAGGAGAGTAATTGGAAATTTTGCTTTCTGTGTTCGGGCGCCTCGTGACTGGAACAACCTTCCAGCTTCCATTCGGTCCCTCAAATCCTTTCCTCTTTTCTGAACAGCTCTGTTGACTCATCTTAAGAACATTTGTCTTTGTTTGTAACATCTCATATATAGTCATTTGTATCCAAAATTATTTATGTATACGTGTATGGTATACATAAATATGGTATCTATTTATATGTGTATGCTCTTAGATATATGTATTTAAGACTATGTTTTTTATGTATGTGTGCGGATATGTATGTTTACATATGTGTATATGTGTGTGTAGGTGTATCTGTTTACATGCATATCTGTTTATATGCATAGAGGTATGAATATATACACATTAAATGTTAACTACTTTATTTTACGACAATCTGTCTGTAAAGAGGGGGAGTGAATAGTGAGAATCTCTGTGTGTGTGTGTGTGTGTGTGTGTGTGGTTTGAATGGTGTGTGTGTATGTGCGTTAAGTATTTGTTGTATTATCATTATTATGTATATATATTTTTGTTTGTTTTTTGTTTGTTTTATTTTTATTTTATTGTTTCTACTCTGCTGTTCTATGTTCTTTGTATTTGATCATGAGGACCCCCCACGAAAACGAGATGATACATCTCATGGGGTTTATCCTCCGATAAAATGTCTATAAATAAATAAATAAATAAATATGGTAATATATATTCATACAACTTAAAATGAGTTTTCCATATATACTGTACTTGGTCTGGAGGACGTTCTTCCCCTACTTGTTCCCATGGAAATGTTGCTTTGTCTGCTTTCATGGAATCTTTCCGGTTGACATTCTACTCTATAGTATAAGTCAAAGCAGCGCATCTATAGCTAACTATTTACCATGCATGAAAAGATGTATGCAAATTCAAAAAGGTGCATTTAGTCTTGTTGAGTAAAAATACAAATTGTGTCAAATTGTCTTGTAATTGGGACCCTTTAAGAATCCGGCCATAATTATTTGGGGCAATAATATTTGAATAAATAAAGACGGCACTGTTTTGCTATAAGTGCATAAACAGACTGTACAATGAGAACTGCTGAGCCTGTACTTGTCATTCATCTGTAAATAGTCAATGCTCTAATCATGTGCAACAATGTGCAATGCTGCAATTTCAGAATGTCCAATGAATTTCACTTCATCTACTTATCCAGCCCTACATGTACAGTATATAACTTGCACTATACAGTGGGGCAAAAAAGTATTTAGTCAGCCACCAATTGTGCAAGTTCTCCCACTTAAAATAATGACAGAGGTCTGTAATTTTCATCATAGGTACACTTATACTGTGAGATACAGAATGTGAAAAAAAATCCAGGAATTCACATTGTAGGATTTTTAAAGAATTTATTTGTAAATTATGGTGGAAAATAAGTATTTGGTCAATAACAAAAATTCAACTCAATACTTTGTAATATAACCTTTGTTGGCAATAACAGAGGTCAAACAATTACTATAGGTCTTTACCAGGTTTGCACACACAGTAGCTGGTATTTTGGCCGATTCCTCCATGCAGATCTTCTCGATAGCAGTGAACACGGACTTTCAACTCCCTCCACAGATTTTCAATGGGGTTGAGGTCTGGAGAAATGCTTCTTACGGAGCCACTCCTTCGTTGCCCGGGCGGTGTGTTTGGGATCATTGTCATGCTTTAAGACCCAGCCACGTTTCATCTTCAAAGCTCTCACTGATGGACGGAGGTTTTGGCTCAAAATCTCACAATACATGGCCCCACTCATTCTTTCCTTAACACAGATCAGTCGTCCTGTCCCCTTAGCAGAAAAACAGCCCCAAAGCATGACGTTTCCACCCCCATGCTTCACAGTAGGTATGGTGTTCTTGGGATGCAACTCAGTATCCAAACACGACGAGTTGCGTTTATACCAAACAGTTCTACTTTGGTTTCATCTGAACACATGACATTCTCCCAGTCCACTGCTGTATCATCCATGTGCTCTCTGGCAAACTTCAGCCGGGCCTGGACATGCACTGGCACTGCAGGATTTGATTCTAGGGGTGCAACGGTTTGAAAAAATCACGGTTCGGTTCGTACCTCGGTTCAGAGGCCACGGTTCGGTTCATTTTTCAAAAAAAAAGTGTTGTCTTTTTAATAAACACAGCTCATGTGGACTCGGCACCTGCTCTGACTGCCCCCCCTGACCTAGAAATGAATTAAGGGGAAGGAAATGGATGGAATATTCCATCCATCCAATTATGTCTATTTAACATAATTAATTAAAAACAACACAAAGTGCAACATAAGAAGGCACTTTATGAGGATATTTACTCTCATATATTACACCACCTTCCTGATTCTCCCGAGGAGGCGCTCCATTCTGGACCCAGCCTCATTCACTGCATTTATTTAATTTTTGGCATTATCAGTTGTGACTGGGATATTAGTACTGGGCCTTTGTCTTCCATTCCTCCGCTGCTTGTGTCAGTACCTGCGCTGTGTGACAGTGTGACTGTGTGACTGTCGTAGAGGGGGCGTGTCTGCAGCGCCAGACTTTTCATCTCCCAGTCTGCGGTGATGAAGTGAGCGGTTCCGCTCATGGATCTATTATAGGTTCTGCGGGACGTCCAAGCGTCAGTCGTGAGCGCAGCTGAGGATGCGCGGGAGAGTTGACTTTAGCCCGGTCTGACTGTGCGTAAAGGAGCTGCTTAAATGCCGCGACAATAAGCGGTCGTTGAGACGCTTTTTTCACTCATGTCTTTCTTGTGCCACAGTGCTTACACATCGTGACAGTTTTGTCAAATATTAATTATCAGTGTAGTTACAGTGAAGCCAAAATGCTCTCATACAGGGGATTTAAATGACGCAGGGCTTTCAAGCATCTCCGTTCCTCCGCTCGCAATGACCACGCTGTGTGTGGACTGAACAACGTGCGCACAACTTTTTTTTCATAAATCAAACCGCGGATCACGTCTGTACCGAACCGAAGACGTTGAACCGAACGGATCACGGATCAGTGATGAACCGTTGCACCTCTATTTGATTCCCTGTCGTCGTTGTGTGTTACTGATGGTAACCTTTGTTACTTTGGTCCCAGCTCTCTGCAGGTCATTCACCAGGTCCCCCCGTGTGGTTCTGGGATATTTGATCACCGTTTTCATGATCATTTTGACCCCACGGGATGAGATCTTGCGATTGAGGGAGATTATCAGTGGTCTTGTATGTCTTCTATTTTCTGATAATTGCTCCCACAGTTGATTTGTTGACACCAAGCTGCTTGCCTATTGTAGATTCACTCTTTCCAGTCTGGTACAGGTTAGGGATGTAAATCGGCGACCGGTTAACCGGTGGTTGACCGTCACAGCGTTAACCGGTCAAAGCAGTCGGTTAAAAAAGAGAAAAAGGGGAGAGGGGAGGTCTCTTAATAACGCTATTTTAAGCCCTATTTGCACGGTGTGACGAGCGGGTCTGTATCTAGCTGTGTGCGCCCATGTATTATAAACTCCGGGACGACTCTCACGCCGCACGAGCCACATATGCACACGCACGCGCGCGCGCGCACACACACACACACACACACTTTCCCCCTCTCCATACGTAACATCCACACGCATCATCTCTCCCCTCTGTTACCGTCAAAGTTGCACATTGGCGCGGGTCAGAACTACATTGGAGCTTACATTTACACACACACACATATACATACACACACACATACACACACACATACCGGTCTGTCGCGCTCCTCTGTGTCACGGAGCCCAAAGGATTCGCGCAAATACGCGGCTCCAGTCAAACCACATGGAACATGTTTGTGTTTATGGTCCTCGGGATCAGCTCCACACACATCACTTGTATTTAAATTTAATTAATTTGATTTAATTTTTGTGAAGACCTGCGAGACGCGGCTCGTCACTCGCTGCTCTGACCATGTGAACGAGCCGTCGTTTGCTGCTAGAAAGTTTTGGTATTAACCCGCAGCACAGCAGAATGGGAAGATTAAAAAAGCAGTTCTCTGTGCGCAAAGGTGCCGGAGCTGTTGCGGGTTTGGGCGCCGCTGTCTCAACTCCGATCCAGTAGAACGCAGAGCTGCACTTATGAAAAGTACGCGGCTCGAAATGGTTGTTATTTCAAAGAACGTGGACTATTTTAAACTACGCGGTTAACCGGTTTCAACCGGTTAATGAGGCTCGGTGGTCGGTCATGAAAATTCATAGTTTTTTACATCCCTAGTACAGGTCTACAATTCTTTTCCTGGTGTCCTTCAACAGCTCTTTGGTCTTGGCCATAGTGGAGTTTGGAGTCTGACTGTTTGAGGCTGTGGACAGGTGTCTTTTATACAGATAACGAGTTCAAACAGGTTCCATTAATACAGGTAACGAGTGGAGGACAGAAGAGTTTCTTAAAGAAGAAGTTACAGGTCTGTGAGAGCCAGAGATCTTCCTTGTTTGAAGTGACCAAATACTTATTTTCCATCATAATTTACAAATAAATTCTTTAAAAATCCTACAATGTGAATTCCTGGATATTTTTGTTTCACATTCTGTCTCTCACAGTTGAAGTGCTGTGATGAAAATTACAGACCTCTGTCATTGTTTTAAGTGGGAGAACTTGCACAATCGGTGGCTGACTAAATACTTTTTTGCCCCACTGTATATGTATATAGATGGAGATATATCAAGAGATTGATAATGAAGCATTTACAGCTATTTAAGAATCATAGCAGCTACTCATAGTGTATATTTTGTGTGCTCCTGTATGTATGCTGCAAGTCCGAGTCTTATGTATATAATACTGTACATATAAAATAGTTGGTGAAACTTTTCCTCTCACACCTCCTGGTAAAGATTTAACAGTCCAAAACGTGAAGCGTGAAACCTGCCTTGGACATTACAGTATTTGACTTCTATCACATCAGCTGCAGCGTGCACAGTGGACTGACCTTTCTGCAGTCCATCTGAGGTCCTCTTCTTGCTCCCGGAGTCCTGCCTGCTCAGCACTTCGGACAGGGACGCACGGGAGCTCTGTCGCCCGGTCTGGATGGACACATGGAACCGTGCGCCCCGCTTCTTGCCACGGTCAGACTCTGGGGCGGACTGGCTCCTCTCCGGGTCATGGTTCTCCGGTTGTGATCCTACTTTCACTAAGGCGTTTCTGGTCCTGGTAAACGCAGATGTCACCGAGCCCATTAGCGTTCCTGAAATGAAAAAGAAAAGAAAACTAACCTCACCGCGTGTAGTACTAGCTAGTTACAAAAATATAACTTTTAGCTAGCAGCCATACGCACGCGCTCTATTCACAAAAGCAACGTAAAAAGCGCCGAAACAGTTGTGAAGTGGCCGCTTTAAACTTCATTTTGATCCAGACAGGAACAAGTGAACGATAAGAGTAATGACATAGCCTATAACTAATATTAAGGGACTAATATTTCCATGTCCCTGGCAGTCTCCTGGCCGTACACGTCAGATGGAAGAAGTTGCTCCCTCGGTCCCTCGGGGCAGAGGCTGAAAACAAAGCACTTTAATTATCCCTTTATGTAAATTAGCCTACATGCAGCCGTGTCATCATTTAGGCAAGGAAACAGCAACGAGATAAAAAATAAAATGCAATAAAGTGTGTTGAATAAAAATAAATAACTTATTAAGATAGAAAGTTTATTTTTATTTTTTATTTTTTTACCGGGGACTGATGATGGAAACTGGCTATGATGCTTTATAATCTGTCTCTGAGCTTTACTTTTTTGTTCACTGTCCCTTTCAAATAAAGACTAAACTAAACTAATTTGTGCACGTGTTTGAACAAATAAATAAATGACACCTGATTAATGCTTGTCAATACCACCGTTAGAGGGCAGTCGCACATAATAATTTAGTGTGATTAGCTGTAGTAGAGACATATAGATAGATAATTATACCATAAATAATATGTTCCCAGAAATTAAATATGACCTTTTGATTTTATTTTCATGTTCTGGATTTCAATGTATTTAGTATGGCAAGTTTATTTGTATAGCATAATTCATACACAAGGCAACTCAAAGTGCACAAAACAAGAACATAAATATTAAAATCACAGTACATAAAAAAGTTGGGATTACAATCCTTCAGTTGTATGCACAGCTAAACAGAACTATTTTAGCCTGGATTTGAACATTGAGTAGAAGCTTGTCTCAAATTTTTTGGAGGACTGTTCTAGATTTTAGCTGCATAAATCTGAAAAGTTATGTTTTAGATTCATATACAATGTAACCCATTGTCTATATAATTTTAGTACTTTTTTATTGGAAAAAAAAAGTTATTAAAAAGGACATTAAAGGGCATTCAGGGCATCAAAATTGCTGTATCTTTTATGCATAAATGTGTCTGTTTCACATTGCTCATTCATCATGCCCTGTCAAAGACACACATGTGTCGAAAAGCGTTGTCAGACAATGAAGGACTTTTTTTGTATCGTGACTCTCTACTGTCTTTTTTGAGAATCTTGCGCTTTGTCCTTGAAGAGTGCCTGGCCCACTGTTCTGTTCTTACTTGAAGATTTGACATAACACTGAAATAACTTAAATTATAACAATGCAATCATTTTTGGACAGTCAAACTCTCACTTGTTATTCATTCACTTATTACATGTTTTCGCAATTCTGTCTTTTGCACAAATCTGAGAGATTCTATCTATACCAAATGTGACAATGTGACATGTCACATTTTTATCTATGTGGCATAGATACAAATTTCTCCTGTGTGAGATCAATAATGTCTTTCTCCTCTTATCTTATCTTAATACGCTGTGGCAATAAATTACTGCTCCCATCACCAGCAATCATTCACGCACACACCACACTGAGCAAAGTGGGGGAAGTGCCTTGCCTAAGGACACAACAATAGTTTGGCACTATACAGTCACAGTCGCTGCACTGTGGTACCTGGTGTGTGTCATGGAACCCTCCCATGACAGCACTTAGGTCCTGGTTATCTATAAATTATGTGTATTTCTGTCCTTTGAACATTGCCCAACTCAGTTTTCCTACTGTTTGGAGTGGCCACACAATGGTTAGTCATAATGAAATTCGATTGTTGAAATTCTGCCAACCAATTTAAAGTTGACTGGAATCTCTTCAGGCTTCTTATGTCAATTTGAATAGCATTTTTTCCTCACTTGTGTAGGTCATTTGATTGACAAGATAGGCCTAATATTTGACTGTATGTTATGTGCTACTATCAATAACCTATTTTACTTGCTTCATTTAAATCAAAGCAAAGTATCCAGAACATGATTGTAGATAAGAAGGATGTTGCGTACTCTTATCAACAATTGTCAATTTGTGTAAGTGTATCAACAAACATATAAAAGAATCCACTCAAATTCACAAAACACAGTTACATTCATGTATTTATTTTATTCAAACATGCAATCTGACATCATTTTGCGTTCACAAATCCTATATTTCGGTGTTCAAAAACCAACTGAAAATATCACAAAGAGGTCTATCATTTTTTGAAGACTCTGTTTCTACTGTTAGCTGTTCTCTTGATATGTCTAAAAGATTAAGAAATTAACATGACAATTTTCATTACTTTCAGCAGAGGAGAGGAGAACAGGCTCCGTGGATCATTACAAGGAAAGGCACTTAGAGAAGCAACTGTAGCGTGTGGCTTGTGAAATAGCGGGTTTCTTATTGCTTTGTGGTTGTTTGATCACAAAAAAAAGAAAGAAATGAAAACATTACTCAAAATCCTCGTGGTTCTGAGTAGATTCATTGATCACCTGCAAAGAAGAAAACATATTTGTTAAGGAAAGTGCAAAATGGTGTCTATCTCTTTCTCTGTGATGCGTGAATAACATTGTACCTGCCCATCCCTGGTCTCAATAGTCTTGATTAAGACTTTCTTTGTGGTTGAAGTTTCAACATGAGGCTTGAAGTCCGTCATAGTTTCTGAAGTTAAATCAAAGAAAATATAGTAGCAATTGGATCAGTTTTGTGAAATGTGTGACACAAGCATCATCTTACCTCTAAAATTTAGAGATGAGAAGTTTGGCAAAGGAGTAGAGATTCTGGAAAAAGGGGAAAGAAAAGTTATGTTGAGGTATTTCAAATCATATCTAACAAATGTGTGTGTAGCGGTGGCACCAATACAAAACCAAATGAGTCTCATGTTGTAAAATTACATGTATGTGGTGTGCAACAATACAGATGTCCGTAAATGACCAGACTGCAGACAACTGACTTAAACCTGACTTCACACATTTATCACTAGAACTCCCAGAGCAGTCAATTGGATTTTAGCAGTTTAGTTGAATGTGTAATTAATCATAGTATACATTATCTGTCACTTTTATTATTTATATTTATTATTTATATTACACAATTATCTTTAATTATCTAAATGGGAGTAGGGCTACCTTTACCTCCATTCATCTTAACGCAAAATTCAACCAGAGAAGTACTTTTTACCATAGCAACATGCTAGCAACAAGCTCTTTTTTACCTCATTGTTAGTGGTTGTTTGAAGCCATTTTTTGTTAAAATACTTCTATTTTCAAATTATAATGACAACAGAAACTAAAGTGATCCGGATTAGAAGTTTCCATCTCCCAGTTCCCAAAGTATTGCCCCTTCAGCATCTATGACAGTCTGGAGTCTATGCTGGAGTCTATTGTGGATGAGGTTCTCCATCTTCTCTGATGTTAAAGCTGCCCATTCATCTTGGCAAAAAGCCTCCAGTTACTATATGTCCTGGGCTGCATTAAAATCTCTTCAGAATATTTGAATAACCCGATCTCAATTATGTTTTAATTTGAAAATAGAAAACACATTCATTTTTTATCTATTGTGTGTGTGTATACTTTCAGGCACAACTGTATATTGTATTTATTTGGCACCTGCTCTCTTCTCCTTCCAGCAGCTTCCTGTAGGTGGCGATCTCGATGTCCAGAGCCATCTTGACGTTGAGCAGGTCCTGGTACTCGCGGAGGTGGCGTGCCATCTCATCCTTCATGTTGTGGATGTCCTCCTCCAGCCGTGCAATGGTGTCCTGGTAACCACTGTTCTCCATGGAAAAGGTCTCCTCCATCTCCCGCATCTGACGCTCCAAAGACTCGTTCTGGTGCCACAGAGCCACAGAAACAGTGAGTCATACAGCAATAATCCTCCTGGAGCATAATAACGTATGATGGCATTTAACAAACCTCTGGTAGGTTATAGGAGAGAAGGCCTTTGACCGTTCACAGAAAGATCCAGGCTAATGAGTAAGTCATTAGCTAATTCCATGTTATTCATACGCCATGAGACATATGGTTTGTTAATTACCAGCTGAGCTTTATACGAGATTACTCATGGTTTGAGCTGTATATTTATGCAATAATACCATAATGCAATAATAATGACAATAATATATACTGAAATGTTTATAATATATAATGTAAATGACTTTTTCCACATTTCTCACAATGTGGTTTTACTGCAAATGCAAATAAAAATCATCTGAATGTCAGAATCTGAATCTGAAAGTACGCTAACCTAAAGCTAGGGCACCTATATTTATTTGTGTTCGTCCCAACATAAAGAGTCTGGTAAACGTCTTGTTGTGAACAGATCAGATCACAACATGCTGTCTGTATATTACTCGAAAATATGTTGTCTTTTGCATACTTATAAATAGTCCCTGTTAGACACTTTGGGCTGAGAGCTGATTGGTTGAGGGAGGGTGGTTCTCTCTTTTTAACTATTCTGTCTGAAAAGAAATGATCTAAGGATGTGACAGAAGCCAAATATGAAAACCAAGTGAAACCAAACTGTTTAAGGGGATATTCACACGGATTGTATTACATAGTTATTACCCCAGATTGAAGTCTGAATAAGGCACTGATGGCTATAGATGTCTTTAACAGGTTTTAGATTCTGAGTAATTCTTACTGAAGGTCAGGAATTAAACTCTTGTCTAGAAATATAGGCTATTTAGCAGAGTCCATTCTGTTGTGATTTCAATAAAGGCAAGTAAATCCATCTCTATAGGAGGTCTGTAACAGGGTACAAGTATCACTACACTGCCACTTTGAGTTTTGGTGTGGTTTTCTTGGTTTGTGTTTTTTCTTTGTTTGGTGTGGACCAATGGCTTTAATTAGTTGGCAGCTGTCGTGGGCGGTGCTTCCTTCTTTAAAAGCTCAGTGCACCTTCTCCTCTCCCTTACACTCTCCCTCTGCTTGGTGTGCAACAGAGTTCGGGTCCTCCAGGTGGTCTGAAGGCCAGCGGTTCTGCGCAGCATCTGGGGCCTGCATGGGGACAAAGCCACACCAGCACGGCCAAGCCAAACCGCTTTATTGCCTGGACCATGAAATTCTGTTTTTAAAGCTCGCACCCATATGTTTGGAATCCAGCCTCTCCCCTCTGATTTTAACCTGAATAGCTTTTATCCCCCTGATTCTAATCATACTTTTTAAAGAGACTTTTGTAATAAATCATTTTAAACTTTTAACTGTCGTGGTCTCCTTGTACCCTGGTGATCAGAACCCAGGGTACAAGTTACAGGTCTATCTATTACTGTGGTAGAAAACAGAAATGTAAACGCCAACTATAATAACACTGATATCTTTCCACATTTAGACACTCACAGTTCCTTTGAGAGCGTCCACTTCACAGGTCAGGGCTTGCACCTGACGCCTGTAGTCATTGGCCTCCTGTTTAGACACTCTGAGTGCCTCGTTATTTCGGGCTGCGGCTTCATTCAGGTCAGCATACTGTAAAGAAATACAAAGCATTATTAATAAATAAATAGGAATTAATATGATACAATATTTGCACTGATGAAAGTGTTGCAAAGCTTCCTGAGAGCCACGCGTTTGAAATTATGATTTGCCATGTTTTCATTATTCATACCAATGCCTTATTATTATTATCATTGTTATTATCATTATTATTTTTATTATTTTAAAGCACTTGAAAAAGTTTGATCCAATCCGTTTGAGATTGCATTCCCACTTGTTGGCCCGGCTCACTTTAACTAGAAAAAATGTCATAGAGAGAAAAATCCTGCACACCGTCTTACTTGCAAATTAAAAATTATTTATTTAAATTGCTTACTAGAAAAAATGTACCACAAAGCAAAATAAATGTGTCCAAACTCATTTAAGTTAGATCTGTAAGCATTTTGACCCAGTTAAGGTGAACCAGACCGACACGTGTGAAAGTGTCGGTCTAAACGTCAGAATCAAATGTGTCTCAATAATTCCTCCTCTTTCTATAGAAATGTGCAGTGTGTTAGTATTAGATAGCAATATGGCCTACGTGCAGGACTGTACAAGGACTCTACAAGGACTCCATGTTATGACTATGATGTGACTGTCTCTTTGTGACACGTATGTCTTTCGATGTGTGACGTGACAATGACTATATAAACTGTGTACTGCCTTTATTCTGTCTGAGAGAAAGAAACAAAGTAAACCAGTGGAACTTGAGAGAAACTTAAATAAACTTCCAGAGTTTGGCGCACCACGATCCGTCTCTGTCTGCTAAATCCTGACAGATTCGGTGGAGAATGCGCGGCTCAGTGTGTGCCATTCTCTGGATTGTTTTGAGGGAGTTTGCTTTGTTTCTTTTCCTCGGCGTGAGAGACCGGCATGCTGTGTCTGGGAGCGGAGATTCCAGCAGGCTGGAAGAGCTGTTCCTGGATGCTTCTTGTCGCTTCTGTCACTTTTGTTTTTTAAATTGAATATTCCGACGCGGAAAAAAAGTTGGCTGACCTCTCGAACAGTCCGGATAAAGAAAATAAGGTAAGCAGACATTTTTTAATATGTAAAGTCTGCATAATTGGATACTAGCTAAATTTTGAGCTGTCCCGGAGGTCTGTCCAACTCTCTCTAAATCAAATTTTCTTTGTTATGTCTTTGTCACGTCTTTGTCATGTCTTATGTTGTAGAAAACAGGTTAGCTGTGTGGGTAACCAGTCCCTATAGGAAAAAGGAACCCCTGACGTATCGGGGTCCCTGTCCTTTGAAGTAGTCAGGACAGAGAGAAAAAGGAACCCCTGACGTATCGGGGTCCCTGTCCTTTGAAGTAGTCAGGACAGAGAGAAAAAGGAACCCCTGATGTATCGGGGTCCCTGCCTTTGGAGTAGCCGGGGCAGAGAATAGAAAATAGAAAATAGTTAGTGAAACCATGGTGTAAAATTAAAAGTAATTATAAAAAGGGAAATGTGTTAAAGAGGCCTTTGTTACAAACGCTTTGAAATTGACAAATTTCAGGCTGATATATGACAAAAGTAAAGAAGCAACAATATTTCAGTGATCACGGTTTAAATTACATACAGAAAAAGGGAGTTTTTGTTTTTGGCGTGAACAGAGTTCACCAGAGAATGCAGAGTTTTATCTAAAGTTGAGCTATGAGAGCTTTCGTGAGTTATTTACATTTTTTGCCGAGTTATATCTACAGTTAAGCTATGAGAGGGTTGTATCCAACAGTTGTTTTTGTTTTTAGAAAGAGATTTTGAGTTTAAACTAGTTTGCTACCTCGATAAAATAGAAGCGGAAACGTTAAAGACAAGAGTGCCTTTTGTTACAAGTGTGGAAAGTGATCACTTCTAGACTTGGATGACAAAAGTATAAACTACAAGTTATATTCGCTTAGCAAAGTAATCTTGAAAGTTATTCTTCTTTCTGTTTTTGCATTTTTGCTAAAACACTGCTTTCTGCCTGTTTGTGTGCATCGCACTATCTTGCTGCCGTTGTCAGGGAAACGGCCCCCTCCTTTGCTGCTCTGGCTCTGAATCAGAGCAAAGCTACTGCTTTAGGATTTTGGCTTTTCATAGTTGTTATTCCGTTAAATTTGCAAAATTTGCCATTGAACATTGTGTTATGACACAGTTAAACGTTTTTAAACACCATTAGGGAATAGAAGTTTAGAATTATTATGTTTTTGAAACCCAAATATTAGTGCTAAAGCTTTGCTTTTCTTTTTAAATCTGCTGCTTATTTCTTAACTTTTTGTGAGTTGTGTTGTTTTTTATGTTTTTATTTTAGTTACAAAAGTCGTTTTTCAAACATTTAAATTAGAATCTGTGTTAAAAGTGATTATTGATTATAGACTTCGTCTAAAAAAGAAAGAGGGAATTAGTATTATTAAGTTGAACTGTACCCAATTCACCCAATTCACATTCAAGTGGTGACTTTTGTTTTTGTTTTGACTACACGCCTGACCTTGCTGCTCCTGCTGATGCACACAGCAGAGGAGACTGGCTCTAAAATGTGCTCCAATTCATATTGACTTAATTTGAAAAATGCTGCAATTATTTTAAATTAGTAGAATATATGCTGAGATAAATGTTCAAGATAATTAAACACAGTACAAAAGTACATAATACATATTTTAAAGGTTGAAGGTTTAAGAGATTTGAGTCTTGTTTTTTATTAAGAAAGAGTTTCTGGTCTTAAAAGTGTCATCATTAGTAAGATAATAAGTAATCTTTATTTACATAGCGCTTGGAAAGCCAAGAGCGTTCCAAAATTGTTTAGACTTCATTCACATACTATTATCTGCTGTTTTAATTTGACTATAAGGTTGTGTTCCAGAACCAAGGGCACACACTGTACAGGGTCACTGGACAGCAGGAGTGGGCACTGAGGGATCAGAACAGTGGCCCAGAGTAGACACCATCCAACCAGCCGCAGATCGTAAAGGCGACATAGCTACCACCGTGTGCCCCTCCCCCACTACAGACCGATGGTCGTAAGTGGCAGTGAGACCGGGGCCACAAAAGTGGGGTTTTCTGTAGGCAGTGGTGGGTGAGTTGTTTTGCAATCTGGAAGTGTGCCCACTTTGCTTGTTTACATCGAGCCAGTGTGACCTTTGAGACCTACAGGTGGTTCGAGGAGTCTGGAGACACAACCCCAAAATTCACACCCTACACACACACACACACACACACACACACATTCATACACTCACACATTCACATTTACATATAGATACATGAAAAAGCAGAACATGAGAAAAAAGCATTTTAAAAGTTTACTCCAATGTAAACACATATTTTTAATTGTCTATCACTTGAATCAGTATTTTTTTGAGACCAGAAATGTTCATTTGAATTCTATATTGTCATGGACTTAATTGGCCTGTCTTGACATTTTTTGTTTTGATTTGTAGATTTTGTACTGTGTGAAGTAATTACATTGATTAGGATTAGAATCAAAGTGACTTAACCATAGAAAGTAACTACTGCATAACAAGCTGTGTACAGGAACTGTGACACTGCACCATTGACCAGAAGTGCATCGCAAATGACCTGATGTGCTTCAAGTGAAAAGACTGTATCTGGAGATCCTGATGTGCATCTGGAGAGACCAAAACCATGGCTTGGACCCTACTGATGTCCAAGATGACATCTCTCGAAATATGACCTGACCTGATGACGACTGAGACTCACCCTCAGGGGACCCTGAGGACCTGAGGACCTGAGGATCTGAGGACCTGAGAGAAAAAACTGGGGAGTGATGTTTATATTATTGAAATCATACATTGATGAGTGCTAAATGAGACAGATACTCATGATTCTTTCTTTTGTTTTTGTTTGTCCCTAGCTTCTGGACATCTGAGGATCTATTGGACACAGCCATTTGCAGAACAAGAACCAGCCAATGAAAAACGTCTATCAATCAATCAATCAACGTTTATTTATAGAGCGCCTTTCCTACACAAGGCAACGCAACCCCATATAACATCATGCATAAATCATCAAACATTAGAATTTAAGTAAACATAAAAGGACAGATTAAGAGCACAAGATATATAAAATCACACAAGTAGTTAAAAACCGTAAAACATTAAAATCACACAAGGGATTACAATCATAAATAATCATAAATAATCATAGTGCATTAAAAAGATTAAAGATAAAAACAAATATAAAATCATTCACTTGTATGCACAGCTAAAAAGAACTGTTTTCAGTTCAGTTTTAAAAACTGCTAGAGTAGACGCCTGTCTCACACTCTCGAAAAGACGGTTCCAGACTCTAGCTGCATGAATCTGAAACGCAGCCTCCCCATGTCTAGTTCCGACTCTTGGCACTAACAGAAGTCCAGTCCCTGTGCTCCTCAGAGCCCGAGTTGGTTCATATGGCACCAACATGTCGCGGATGTACCCTGGTGCGAGGCCATGGAGAGACTTGTACACAAGTAAAGCTACTTTAAAATCTATTCTCTGAGCCACAGGAAGCCAGTGCAGAGACCTGAGGACCGGACTAATGTGGTCGTACTTCCTGGTTCTAGTCAGGACTCGAGCTGCAGCATTTTGGATGTACTGCAGCTGTTTTACCGCTTGTTTAGAGAGACCTGTGAACAAGCCATTGCAGTAGTCCAATCGACTGGAGACAAATGCGTGGATAAGAATCTCCAAGTCTGCTTTAGACACAATGTTTTTAATTTTAGCAATGTTTCTTAGGTGGAAGTAAGCTGATGATGTCACAGATGATATGTGGCTATTGAAATTTAAGTCTGAGTCCATTATTACTCCTAGATTTCTGACCTGAGTTGAGGGTTTTAGGGAGAGAGACTGGAGGTGGCAGATAACGCTCTCTCTTTGTTTTTGAGGTCCAAAAACAATAATTTCAGTTTTTTCTGTGTTTAGCTGGAGAATGTTATTTTGCATCCAATCACTGATTTGTTGGATACAGTGAAGGAGCGAGTCCACTGGTCCATGTTCTCCTGCTGTCAGGGACACATAGACCTGAGTATCGTCAGCA